TGGCCATGCCGGGCTGATAATTAGTACAATATACATTGGGAATGTATGTTACTCGTTATTTCGTAGCTTGTTTTTAATATTATTTACACGTTCAAAAAAAAGCTGAAAGCTTGTTTAACACTCGATAGTTATCTACGTAGGTTCCCTATAGAGAACTTGTTCTACGTAGGAGAAATTGCTTAAACCATATTATGAAGAATTCAACTAGATAATACAGCTTATTTTCACATAACGTGATGATGGGTGACCATATCGTTTCACTTGAATGATGACATTTGTAGTTACAACGTCCATTTCCTGTCTTTGGATAATAATGGTTTTCTACGTAACCACTTTTATGACATTTTGATGTAAGTATAAGAAATTACGACATTTAAATAGCTGTATTACAAAACAGCTTTTGATAGTTAACCACTAAAAGATCTCAATACTGCCATCTGGTGGAAAAATAAGATCACTATATTTTAATATAAAACAGAAAATAATATTATCTCGTGTATATTTACTGTTTTATGTTTCAGTTTCTCATTAGTGAGAATCATTAAAGAACGAGTCTTCCAAAAAAAAAGTATTTCGTAGCTTACCAATACTACGAGAATAGTCCAGTAAGCAGTAAATGACTTCAGTTGTCTCTTATTTACTTATCATATAACATGAAAAAAAGAAATTGTACTGACTATGTTATATCAAATGGAATAAAATTCATTTTCCCACCGTAAATATCTTTCTTATGGTTAATGTACATGTTGATTTAAATACATGGAAACGTGTTTACAACGAATGTACAATCAGGCAAAATAAACAGGAGAATCGGCATTATTTAATAATTGGCTGACATTTATTTTGCTACTGGAGTCTGGCTGTTAAACTGTGTTACTGTTGCTTATAGTTTACGAAAGACACCAGTGCTTTAAAAAGCTTACCTAAGAACACGTTGATAATGACAATGTTGCTTGCTTATAATTTAGTAAAGCCCCCAGTGATTCAAAAAGCTTATCAAACATGTTAATTATGACACAGTGGCTCATAGTTTTGGAAAGTCAACAGTGCTTTTAAAAAAGCTAGTTACTGAACCTGGTTTTCTTCTTTTCTTATGGTAAACTGAATGAAACTCCAAACATTTTTTCACCTTTCATAATATGTTTTGTAGTGATACAAAACTGGTTGATGTAATAAAAATATGGGAGTTGATTGAAATGTCTACTGGTGTTACTATCTGTATCTTTGAGACTAAATACAATTCACGTCATGAATAATAGTACCTAGAGTTTTTTACATGCACAGATGAAAGGCTGTAGAACTTTTCAACCAGAGGGTATAAATTATGTATATAAAGAATACCATTTTTTTAAATTAGTTATTAAATAAGTCATTGTAATGAACATGTTCTTCGGCCCATATATATATATATATATATATAGGGGAAAATGAGTGTTGAGTAGTATGTGCCACCCCCACACAAAATATGATTCCATGTAAGATCAATAGAATAAGTCTAACTGTGTTTTGTTAAGTGTTTATGCTTTAATTAAACAAGTTTATACAACAGCTGTCAAAAAAAAAGAACATAAAGTTTTATCGAGAAACAGAGTGCCGTGGAATAACGAAATACAATACGTAAACAAGAAAGATAAATTATATAAAAGGTTTTAGGCTCCAGTTTTCATGGAGGATTTTTGTGTTACATTAATCTTGTCTCCCAGACTCAAAGCCATACCCTAGAGAGAGAGAGAGAAAACAAATACAAGTTAGTTAGTTACCTTTAACACAGCAAAAATATACAAACAGATTACGTGCACATTGACAATTATCAAGTTCACACCATTTCACTGGGACAAAAGTTCAAACATAACCTTTAAAATGTATCTAAACTGAATACTGACTATCTAAAGTAGAAAATTACTTTAAATGGTCATTTACATGCCTCCGTTTTCCTAAACTGACTATTAGAAAAAACCTGTTTCTCACCAAATTCTAACTCTTACACCATAATTGAAACTAAATCAGTTTTTCAAATATAAAAGAAAATATTTTTTTCCCTAAATTATTCCTGGGTTATTTATGAAACCCTAAACTTCTGTGTGAGTGAAGCTAAGTTGGAATGAAAAAATTGTAGATGATTCACAAAAAGGAATAAAAGTAAGAAAATGTGAAAACCAATGTGTTCCATCACTGGACTATATCTGTGAACATCCACACAAAAACGGGAACAAAGAATAATAAGTACACATTATCAAACTGACCTTAAAACAGAGCCAGTCATTATCTTTTGAGTACACATTATCAAACTGATCTTAAAACAGAGCCAGTCTTTATCTTTTGAGTACACATTATCACACTGACCTTAAAACAGAGCCAGTCTTTATCTTTTGAGTACACATTATCAAACTGACCTTAAAACAGAGCCAGTCTTTATCTTTTGAGTACACATTATCAAACTGACCTTAAAATGGAGCCAGTCTTTATTATTTGAGTACACATTATCACACTGACCTTAAAACAGAGCCAGTCTTTAGCTTTTGAGTACACATTATCAAACTGATCTTAAAACAGAGCCAGTCTTTATCTTTTGAGTACACATTATCACACTGACCTTAAAACGGAGCCAGTCTTTATTATTTGAGTACACATTATCACACTGACCTTAAAACAGAGCCAGTCTTTATTTTTTGCTCTTATTGAAAGTGCACAAACGTTTTTGTGTACTAAATTAATGTTGTTTAATATATCTAAACAGAAAGTGTGTACAAACCTTTTGTGGTCCTTTAGTTACTTCAAATGATTCTTTGATCTATATTACTCTACATATAAAACGTTCCCACATGATAAAGTTTGAAATGTCAAAATGTAACCACTTTTACATTGCTACTACATGCACTTGATTTTTTTTTTCTATTCTCTTTTAACAGTTTTATAACAATATGTATAATCTTTGAATATACAGAAATTTGGAATTTAGAATGTTCTAATAGTTCATAAAATTAGGAAAAATCAGGAACAATGAAAAATGATGTAAAAAACAACAACAAACATTCATGTTAACTAGTACGACTGCCATTTGTGTAACCCATCATAATCATGGTGTTTTCCCAATTAAGTAGCATGTGCTTTTACAAATCTTTCCATGCCATATTTTGTTCCCTTCTTTAAAGCCATGTTCAGGTAAGCTTTCAGAGTAATTTCTCAATATATAGTTTTATTATCTAGATGGCATTCAAAACTAGTAATGAAATTTACATATTCATTATATTTTATGATTTATCCTTAAGCATTCACAGTATTATTTCATTTACCCTGATATTTTTTTTAACTAATAATAAAATACATTAATTCACTTCCTGTGAACAGAGGCTGGTTAGGTCCGAAAAAGGAAAAAAAAAAAACAACCTACACAGCTCTTATAGTTTACAGGGTAACAATCACTTTTGTCAGAACTTGAGAATTATTACGATCTTGTTCACTTTAATTAATATTTAGCCATTCCTATTCACAACAACCTCTTACCTGACTTTTAGCACGTATACGAACATGGCCACTAACAGGTCCATTGGGATTGCTTGGATTTTTCTCAATGCTTACATTAGCTAATGCATCTTCACCAAAGATTGATTTAGCATACAGATTAGCAGCCATAAATCCACAGTCACCAGAAAGAGCCTTCAAAAAGTTATAAAATAAGAAGATCAAATACAGGTATCAAATGTCTTAAAAAACTGAAGTATTATATACAACAGACACCCACAAGTAAAAGCATGAGAAAGTTTAACATAGGCTGAAACATGCCATTTCAGTTACATGGTCTCAGAACTATTAAACAACAGGCTATAAAATGCAGTGCTAATTCATTAAAGAGGCTTTGAGCTCTTATAATCTATAGTATTTTAACACACAACATTAATGAAATGAGACCAACTCATTTTTCTTTCAATAAAGATTTTTTTATTTCTGTTACTTTTATAATCATAACAAAGACATTTTTTTCTACTTCTAAACATCTATGTAACAAAATTCTAAAACTAATATCCTTCACCTAAATTAATAATTTTTTTTCCTCAAATTTATGGTATATAAAACGAAATTAAAGGATTCTCATCAAATTGTGTAAATTAACTTAAAGAAATAATTATAATTGTTAAAATATATCATTTTCATATAGTTAAACAAGTAATATCATTAGTGATATTTATTATAGACTTTAGGCAGTAGCACACCATCATTTAATGGTTTTTTGGGACAAATTAATAATCTGTGAGACTCAGTAAGATAAACATTTGTTCATTATTCTTTGTAATTGTGTTACATTTGCAGTTAACAATATTTTGTTCTTAGTGTTATGACGGCAACTGCTTAGACCAAAATTTTTCTTTAAAGTAAAAATAATAATAACAGAGAATGGTACAGAATTTTTAAAATGAAATAGTTCAAATATGTATAATAGGATGGTTAATTATTACTAATACTGCAGGAGTCTTCAGTGAATTGTAATGCAGTCTTTATGAATATGTAATCACTGACTATGTATTTAATCAACAGATAATACTTACACATAGTAAGTTAAGTAGTTTTAATACCATCTCAAGTCAAAAGTATACATCTACATAAACAAGTTAATAGTTCATAACACTAGGCATAGTTGTAATCATAACTAATTTAAAATAATTACCAGTTTTAATACTAATTGAGATGAAACGACAGAAAACTGTTTTATAAAACTCTGAAACTAGTACCATGCATGTTACTGGAAATTTCAATAATTACAATAAATCATCACTTCACATAACAGTATGATGACTATTGTTATAAGTAATATATTCTCCTAGTTTTTGACAATTTCATAAACATATACAAAATTTACACTACTGTGTCTAATAACAAACATTCCACACTGGTATATCTAATCAAATGCTGATGACAAGAATTAAGGTTTTGGTCTTTGTATTAGCTGTTAAAAGATCCAGCTTACCTTGTCTGGTGTCAAACACTTCATGTTGGTATATTTAATCAGATGCTGAAGATAGGAATTAAGGTCTGTGATATTGGTATTAACCGATACCTACAACAGTAGAAATTTCAATGTATAAAAGCAATAGGTATACCACACGTGGGATTATAAACAGCAGTTAAATGACTAGATTACATCTAAGCCTACCTTAATTAAGCCTAAATGTAGCCTTACAGTATTGTGAGACAATATTTTAAATATACATGTTATACAAAGTTCATCATATTTTACATAAGTGACTTACATATACTTATACAATGACACTGCAGATTTGCCTTGGTGCCATGGATAAGATATAGAATATCTATATATTTGGTTTACAGCAAATTCTTGACATTTAGCAGTGCAATGCTACTACACGTAGATATATCCTAAAGAAATATATAAAAACCTTTTTGAGGAACAATATTTGTATAAGATTATTAAAAACATTGCAGAACCAAAGGAAACAATATTCTGAAAAAACAGAGCCCTCATTTCTCTCCAAGGGAGTGAATGAACTCGAATAGAAAAGCATTTATTACATCAATGGGCTCCGAAACCACATGCTAGGCTAAAAAATGAGGGCTATAGATACAAGAGAACCTTCTGACCCAGAAAGCCCTTTCATTTCCTGTACTATTAACAAAACTAAAACATACGATTTGAAGCTTACAAGAGTTCAAGCTAAAATATTCACAAGCTTCTAGCAAAATCTTGAAACCAACAATAGATGTTAAGATAGATGGTTGAAAAACTGGAATCACAGTAATTTCTATTAACTACATACTGGCATCAATTCTGGTTAAATATGGCCTTGGAAGCCAACGTACAGTGGAGTCTGTGGAAAGTTTACAAACATGAAATGTCTAAAATTGACCTCCCTATCATTTGCATAAACTTGTTACAGAAGAAACTGTAGTGTCACACAATATTCCATGATCATGGTCATCAGAACATGCATGAGTGAAGATTAGTCCAGACTGAACTGTAAAGTTCACACTTAGCATTTCTCACAATAATACAATGGTTAATCATACTGACTTATACAGCTTGGAAAGTGTTACAAGAGTAAATAGACTTTACACACTAAATGGTAAGATCTTGTTCAGCAGGTCTCAGTACACAGGCAAAAGGTTAAAACAATATCCATTTTAGTCTTTCCTATACATTAACACATTAATAATACAAAACCTTACCTTGTTTTCCCATTCAAATTCTGCCCACATCTGTCTAAATTCAGTGTCTGTACATGAAGCAGGTACTATGTAGTCCATGATGTCAATATGAATGTCATTCAATACCACAACATTACGATCACTTGTCGATCCTTTCACATCATATACTAACAAAAAGACATTTGTACATTAATTAGGTATTAATCACCATAATCACTTGCTCTTTTTTCTGTGTAACAATATACATACATGCTAAACTAGGCTTAAAAACTTTCATTTGAAGACCGTAGCTTAGTTTGACAGCACTATTTATTCCTTCTACAACAATTAAGACAAAAGTAATGCAAGTCATGAAGTGTTTAAGAACTGTTTATTAGACAAAACTAGTATTTGTTTTTATTATCTTATAACAATATCCCTGTATCAGTATTCAACAGCAGACAAAAGTGAGATTGGGACAAGTTGTGTTTATGAAATACGTGTATGCCAACTTTGACCTGGACCTCCAAAAATTAATCAAGTATATAGTAACTGTTGTACAAGTTTGGTCAAAATCCATCCATTAACTATTTAAGTATTCTGTCCACCAGATCAGGAATGATGAACAAGGCTTTTCTTGGTACCTTTGAAAGAATCATTTCATGTAAATCATACATTTTTCTTTTACATGTTGAAAGTACAAATCCTTTTACATACCTATGTTCCCAAATATTATTCCATTTTCAGTAGAAGCAACTTTGACACTAGCCTTGATATTACTGAAGTCATGAGGTGCCAGAATGATGGGGGTTGGCTTTTCAACTAATTTTAAGTCCCCTAAAATAAATAGTGTTTAAAGAAAATACATAGCTAAATTATTCTAATAACTAAAACAAATATCTAAATAGTGTTCTACTTCATTTTAAGCTATGAAAAATCAGTTTTCAATCTAAAAAATTACCAGACAAGTGATTGATTATATCTATTCATTAAATGATCAGTAAGTAGTTGAAACAATAAATAATGTATAGAATAAAAAGTACAAAACCAATTAGTTTCTGATCTGATCTTTATATCTAATTTAAAGTCATAAAACAAAAGTGTCTTTGGTAAATATTGGAGTTGCCTGTTCAAAAAAAAAATTCTTCAAATACTTATCTTAGATATTGGAAAAGTATTAATGTTACAGAGGTTACATTTCTAAACTAATTAGGAATTACTAATTTAAAAGTAAAATGTTTCATATGACTTTGGCAACTTTACGAACATCCATTTCCCACCTTTCTATTGAATCTCTGGTCTACGTGATACATGGTTGAATCACGTTTAACTTTCCTGTGCTGTTGGAATCTCTTTTGTCTTTATGCTACAGGGCTAAATAATGTTCAACAGTGACGTTTTTACAAGCAGTCTCTTGAATAAAAATTTCTGTTGAATTGTATTTTGAACAGAAGTGCAAATTCAATAATATTGAAATTACACAGTTAAGTATGTATGTAAATACATAAGTTGACTTACCTAATGTAGCTAGTTCTAATGTACAATTCTGAAGCGTGTCTGCAGTCTGATTCACTATAAGCACATCAAGAACAATATCATACTGATTCACGTGAACATAAGCTTCTGAATACACAGGGTCCGAAAAGCCCGTCAGCTGAGTTACTTTGCTTAACTTAGAGGATGACAGATCAGCAGGACTTTCCTTCTTTACAAGACCCATGGCTTGGGAGAGACTCAGCTCAAAGATGTTCTGTATAAATCATTAAGTAATGGAATTAAGACTAGATTTACATGTTGTTTAAATATGAAATCAAAAAGCAAGTTTCTTGTTTTTATATGGTATACATATAGTTTAATGTGATTCCTTGTTACAAAGACATTAAAAATCACCAAACTACCAAAGATGAGGGTTAATCACACTTTACAAGAATGACATTTCAGGTCACATGCTACACTTAGAACTATTTCCTCTATTATCAATCATGTCCAATCTGATGGTCATTACAAAAATATTGCTTGACAGAGTAGTTTATATTGTAACAATTCTTTGAAAGACCACATATTTTGGCAAACCAGATGTCTGCTTCCAAAACAAAACTTAAGCAGACCAGAAAAAAAGATTATGGAAATTACGTTAAATATGATTTATATGGTGCCACTTTGTTTTACCATTTTTTTCATAAAAACAACCACCAATTTTGAAATATAGGTGTAAACTTGTAAACCTTTGGCATGTGACTGTCAGCATCAAATCTTTGTTCATGGTACAAAAACATACTTCAAGCTTCATCATAATGTTGTTCTTTTTTTTTTTTAATCAAAGGATCCTTTTTTGTAACCACAGCCTTCACTTTGCATATAGTGTTGGAGCCCACTGCTGTGAGAGTTATTCCACTTCCACAAATACCAATCACTCATGGCTTGTATCAGAGACAGCGTGAATATTAATATACGAAAATTGACATAATAAAGAGTGATTGATCCTCTGTGGTTTCATATATTGAAAAAAATAAAATAAAAATAGTATTTCTTTATTGTAAATCTACATCTAAAGGATAAACATAAAATATCTAGAACACTGCTATTTATCTTCACATAGTCTGTAAATTAGTGAAATAAAAATAAACCAAACTTTTGAGCCACAACAAACCTCTGTTCCCATAAGGTCTCCTCTAGATGCCAACTGGCTGAATGGTATAGGGTCATCAGCATGAACAATGATACTCTTCTTCTCTTTAGCCTAGGAATGCAAAATAAAAAAATATTTTTGACAAAAGTTTGAAGTGAGAAACACAACAGGGATCAGATAATAGTGGCAAGAAATAATATGAAGATGACAGTATCTTTCTAAAATAACCATGGAAAGATGTGGGTATAACAAAGATACCAGTGTCTTTTTCAGACCAGATGATAGAGAGAAAGTAACAACATTTATATAACACTAACTTTTATAGTGAAAACTGAATTATATATATTGATAATAGGAAGATTACCAGTAATTTTCTGAACAAATCTGTAAAAAGAAGAGTATAAAGTCTGAGTGAACATCAAAGGAAGAGTGATAAATATTTTATCTTTGCTTTTTTGCGAGTATATAAGGAGAAGGTTAACAGATAAAATTCTATTACATTTTGAGAAGAAAAACTAAAATTCCAGTGATTTTCTATAAAAACAATATTGAGGATTAAAATGTAAAATTACATATGCATTTATTTTTTTTAATTCAAAAAAAGGCTAAAACTTGTATAAAAGTCCTAGTAACTTATTATGAGGGAACAGGAATTTGACAAACATAAAATGAAATTATCAGTATTTGTTTTTTCATAGATTGAAAAAAAAAAGAAGAGTGTCTAGTCAAATCCATGTATAAAGCATTTGAGGATTTCTGTATGGCTAATGCACTTTCTGGTACAATATTACAAAAAATTACGTTTATTATTTTCATGCATTCTAATATGCAGTACGAGATATGTAAACTCAAGAGGCATCATTAGGCACTAAAACTGGAGGCCTGTGCTTCAATCCTACTTGACAGTGCCTCAAATCCCCAGTTGGTGTCTTGAAAAATCAGAATAGAAAACAACGAATGATATCATAACGAAAAGCTGAAAATTCCTGCATCTATGGGCATGAGCCTTGAATCTTAAGCACCTAAAAACACCTCTGTGTAAACTGCTTAAAAATATGTTTTGTGCAAGTTATCTTAAACACAAGTATTACTTTCAATTAAATGCAGTCTTTATCTCTACTTTCACATGTAATACCCCAAATCAGAAGCATATCAATAATCAATACTGAGTGTGTGTTATAAAACTAACAAATTCATTACTGTATTGAATATTGAGTGAACATAAAAATCCTATAATTACTGAAGGCAGTGCTCTCATTAGAAAGCAACAGGTGGTGAAAACTGCCATACATTTGAAAATTTGGCCAACTACATAATTTTAGCAAAAAAATCTAGCCACCATTTTTTGTACAACAATATATTTAGCATAAGAACTACTGACCCAAAGTAAGTTTACAGATGTTCATGGAGTTAACCAGGAAGTAAGATGTTATTACAATACTTAAAATTAAAATATGGAAATCATACCTTTACTGAACACAAATATGAATATTTTGATTGTTTTATGGATTCTGATTCAGTGGGTCTCTTAAACAACTGATGTGACATAGAGACAATAAATAACACAGAATCTAACAAAACAAATGTAACATGTGAGCAAGTTGTTTTATCGGTTTTTCAAAGTTTGACGTAAAAGTCCATCGACATTTTAACTTGACAAACTCTCTAATCATACAATTAGATCTATCAAGCTTTCTCTGTGTTGTTAGCCTACATATTATATTATATATATTAGATGAAAATACAAAAAACGAATGAGAAAAATCCTTATTTTATTCTCATCTTCTGCTCTCAAGTTTTATTTAGGCTTTAAGGAGATTAGGTTAGATGTGGTGAGTTTCTCTTATCTGTCATTAGCCTAATTTTCTTATTACATATTGAATAAAAACATAAACTGGGAACACAAGTCACCATTTAGCCTATATTGCCTGTTATCAGAAGTTTCATTTCAGGTTTCAATTAACTACTTTTTTCTACATGTATCTTAATACAATTTCCATTACTGTAAAATTTTGAAATATTATAACATCAGACTCATAATGAAGTGGTAAGTGGTCTAATAGTGTTAATGTTTCCCTTATGGATAGTTAAGATCAGCTAGAACCAAATGTGTAATTGGACTTCAATAAATATAACTGACCACACAAAGCACAAGACATCTCACTACAGTTGGTCTTGGAACTTTGAGGAGAAATGTAAAAATCACTGAACTTGCAATGTGAAAGTAAGTGAATTAATTGTCAAACAGAAAGAAATATATAGTATCTTATTTGTGATTATTTGTCTTAAAATTGTTAGTAAAAAGTATATGACATTTTGTAGTATGGTATTTATTTATGTATATGTATATAATTGTAAATGCAGACAAATTCAATTTTGATCATCCAAAACAGCTAAGAAATGCATTTTTATCTAGAAGCTTTGCATCCTAAGATTCTTCTACAAGGGCTTTGTCCCTGTACCCAACTAGGGAATATCTATGAATTTGACACCTATATGGAAAGCTGTTGGGAAAAGTGGAATGTATACTTAACATCAATGAAACTATAAAATATGACATTATCAATAAAATATCTCATTGGTATATACTATTTATCATTAAAAAAATTATTGCATTGAGTTACTCTAGTCTTTACTATATAACTTATAACATAGGCCTGCAAATTTAAACTTCGTAAAAGTTGTTTTGATTTTAAGAACTGATTTTCCATAATTCAGCTACACAGATTTCAAAAATAATATTATTATTTTTTTCTATCACTTACGGATTTTTTACAAATTGGGAAGAAAAAAAAAATTCTTACTTAGATCAAATTTACCACAAATATAACAGAATATGTTTAGGTCATTTACACAACCTCTTGTTCCATAAATGATGAATAAATAATATTGAAAAGAAAAAAAATAATGTCAAAGTGCACACACAAATACTATTCAGAAATGACACATCATGCAGCCTGTTAACTGTTTATATACTAGTGGTGTGTTTCTTGTGGGTTCTAGAACTATGGACTCTCACGTCGCGATTGCCAGTGGTTGTCAAAAATTTAAGCATAATAAAATGTGACCCGATTTCAATGCAAATAATTCACTTATGTAAAAGTGAAAAATCTACACATGATGGAGAAAAATGGATATCATTTTCAGATTCAGCATACAGGAATTACTGTAGAACATGTAAAAATTTCAAGACAATAAAACCAATGCAGGCCTGTGTAATTAGGGCAAGAAAATATGATGCTACTGACCTTTAACTATCAGTACACAACTACAATTAAGCAAGATCTGTATCATTTAACCTATACTTTGTGCAGAAGCACTATTTGCTTTGCTTAATTTTTATTATATTCCCCAATAAAGAAAGAGGATGATATATTTTTTAATGTTTACAACAACATCTACAATAAGGATGAGAGCATGATCTTCCTTGAAATTTACTTTCTTGAATCTTTCCTAAATAATTTACCATTGGGATATAAAAACATGTTTATTCTTTATATTTTAACAGAAAGAAGTGCTTACTGACCTTCTCAGTTTCTTTTTCCTCTTCAATCTTAGTGGTTAACATGGTTGACAGAGATTCTCTGCAGTCCAAGTTAAATATTTTGATCATCAGAGGAGAACGTTCAGCCAGAACTTTGAGACACAAGGATATCCTCTCTAAATCATCATCATTTATGCTCTATAATAAAATAAAAAGGAAAAAACAACATAGCATTATCTTTATTTTGTCTGAACAAACAAACAAAAAACCTGCACCATCAAATCTCAAGAGAGGTTTAGGAACCATGCTAATTTTGTTTTATTAAATAAAATCATTAGTAAACAATACAGAACTACACATATATTATGTGAAACATTTAAAAGATATTAAGTCATTTATTTAGCTGAAAGCTTTTATAACTTCCAGCAGATACTCGCCACAACTAATATTGGTATTTAAAATCACAATATTTTCAAACTGATATAAAAGAAACTGTACATAGTAAAATGTTCTATTAAAATTTTTGTCATGGTAACCTGACATGATTGGTTTGTTTTAAATTTTGCACAAAGATACACAAGGGCTATCTGCACTAGCCATCCCTAATTTAGCAGTGTAAGACTAGGGGGAAGACAGCTAGTCATCACTACCCACCGCCAACCCTTGGGCTACTCTTTTACCAATGAATAGTGGGATTGACCGTCACAGTATAACACCCCCATGGCTGAAAGGGCAAGTATGTTTGGTGGGACTGGGAATCGAACCAGTGACCCTCAGATTGCAAGGTCCCCAAGTTACTAATCTGAAATAAGTTTCCAATAAGCAATTTTAAAATGGAAAACTCACTAGATTTTCAAAAAACATGTTAAACAAGGGATATTTCAACAACTAGATTATCCATGCATTTACTGATTAAAAATAATTTTAGAGGAAATGTTTTTTTTATAATGATATGAAACTTGTACAATATAGGAAAATGAAAGATATTAAAAAGTTAAAAACTTTTAAAATATATTTTTGAAGGTGTGCACAGGAATTTACGATTCATTACAAAGTTAAACATGGCAATTTGAGTTTCTTTGTGAAAAGAAAGAATGACATTTACCTTTGTTGTCAATCCAGATTTTCCAAGATGAATTATTGAAGTCATTATCAACATACATTCTGCAACAAAACACTACAAAACAAAAATAAACAAATATTCATTTTTATAAAGCTAACTAAGCTGAAGTTTTAAAAAATCTCAAACTGACTTATCAATGGTAATAAGAAAAAACGGATTGGTGACTACTTTTATCAACAAAGCATATAGAAAATGTGCTAGTTTATTGAAAAGTGATTTTGCAAACATTATACGAGACAATTAAAAACAAATGTTGACAGTGAAACTGGTCTACATAAACTTTCTGTAACAACAGTTTTAGATAAAATGTGCTTCTCTTTCAAAAGAAAATGAAGACAAACTTCCAATGAAAGTTTCAACTTTTCTAATGTTGTAAAACAATCATTTAGAATTTTTACGTATTTATATTTGAGCTCTGTTGTTATATTCATTCAAAATACTACATAAATATGCCACAGAAGTTGTCACTTCCAAACTTGTTTCAAAAAATTACATTGCTAATACTTGTGGAAATGAATTGACCATGAACTAAATAGATGAAAAAAAGGACTAAGCGAGTCTGTGCTTATTTGATAAGTTGAAAAAAAAATCTAGAAATAAGCATGAAACTTTTACTATATCCTAGTGTTAGATTACTTAATTTATCTATAGTATAAAACTGAAATACAGGCACACACAGTGAATATAAAATGCAACAAATGAAACAAAATGACAAATATTTTTTAATTAACAAAATTGGCATATTTAATGATAATGTATCACAGAGTAAACTACTACACTTCAGATAAGAAACTTAATGTACTTTTCTCAAAAGTACAAGAGAATACATATTCTGTAATAGATGTGTTCTTTAACATATTTGCAATTCAGTACATCATAACTGCAACTGTGTTTTGTTTGTGTCCATTTAAAATGTTACATATTTTAATTGGGAAAATTAAAATGTAAGGACGATAAACCTACAAAACCTATTTAACTGTATTTGTTACTTCTCATATCACACCGGCACAAATTACTGATGGAAAAAAAAATATTTCCATTTATAGATAACATCTAATAGTTAAAAACAATAAATCACAAACATATAATATTTGCCACTTGGAAATACTACTCAAGGATAAATATTCTTTCCCCAAACATTAAATTTGTTTGTTTGTTTTTGAATTTCGCGCAAAGCTACACGAGGGCTATCTGCGCTAGCCGTTCCTAATTTAGCAGTGTAAGACTAGAGGGAAGGCAGCTAGTCATCATCACCCACCGCCAACTCTTGGGCTACTCTTTTA